TAAAATTCATATTTTCCTCATTTTCTTGATTGTTGTTATCATCTTGTTGACCAGAAACACTTCTGGTATTGTATTTATGTTTTTTCTTACCCATACGAGTAAAAAAGATAGAAAAATAACTAAGTTTTATATGTAACTACAGTGAAAAATCGTATTTCTCTACTGTGGGAATATTTGGTACAAGTGAATGACGGGAAGAGTTTTCTCTATATATTTTTATAGTATTATAGGTTATAGATTAAAAATAGTATTTTCAATTATTTTTCAAATCCTCAATATTGCAGATTTTTTAGATAGAATTGTGATAAAAATCCATATATCCTCAATTAATTCATTGTTACCCTACTTTTATTACTTATTTTTATATTTTATTATTATATATTTTATTATATATGTATTATTTTATTATTAGTTATTATATATTTATTTCTTATTATTATTATATATAGTATTACAGTAGATAAATTTAATAGTCTGTAGTACAAATTAGATATTATTACTTGAATTAGTAAATTCCTAAATTCTTGTTAATCTGTAATACTAGAACACAAATTAGAGTACAAGCCAAAGTATGAGTTAATATTTTAGTTAAAGTACAAGTTAAATTAACAGTTAAGGTATCAGTTAGGATATTAACATAGTTACTAGTGAAGTTTATAGTCAGATTACAAGTTAGCTTAGCAGTTAAAATCATAATATATAAAAAAGCTGAGGATTTTCTCAACTCAGTCTTCAGTTCTCAAGTTCTTTAGTTCATTTTTGCTCAGTTAATTAGTTAAGATTTATTAAGTAATAAAGTTAATATTACAAAATTCTTTGAGTTCCTTGTTTATTGTATTCTTTTGATAATTGATAAACTGTTTGCTCCTATTAACAAGTCCTCATATCACTGTTAATAGTTAAATATACCTCTTTCATAATTGATTGTATATAATTCCTTCTACATATAAACTCTTATATCAGGATTATTTTACTTTGAGATTAGTAATTCTTATAGTTATACTTAGTTTTGTTTATTAGTTTTAATATTATTTTACCCTGTTATCTTTGTAAATTGTAGAAGGTTTACACAGATAACAATGGTCAAGGTAAAATTATTACAGAAAAATATATATATTATAAAAATTGTATTTTGGACGTCTACCAAATAACTGCTAACAATTCAACACTGCATATCTCATCATCAGGTGATATTTGAATGAATTATATGAAGTTAACGATTGCTAACAATTCGGTATTACATGTCTCATCCTTGATCAATACTCAAGTGCATTAAAATAGTTAACAATTTGACACTATATGTCTTAAGTTTGACATATTTTTTGTTATCCCAAAAACCTTCCAGGTGGAACTAGATACTTCATTATATTTCACATCAGGACCTTCCAGGCGGAACTATTTTGATACTATGTGTCTCAACTCTGGTTCTCATAGAGGAATTAACCAGAAAACTAAGACACTATGTGCCTAGTTTGGGAATAGCCCTCACATTGGACCCACAAATGTATCAGCTTGGTGTGTGTTATAAAATATATATCATGATGCCTTGGTCTGTATCATAAAATTTGGATCACAACACCTTAGTCTGTGTCATAAAGTTTGAATCATGACACCTTAGTTTGTGTCATAAAATTTGAATTATGTCACCCTAGTCTGTATCATAAAATTTGGATCATAACACATACATAATTTAGACTAAGTGGAAACAACATAATTATCTTGTTTCCACTCACTGGCATTGTTTTTCTTTTTCCTTATCAAAGACTAAAAATATAGTATGAAACCATATGTAAAGGTGAAAAAACAATTTTTTTTTTGTTCCAGTGAGGTCTTGCCTCAAATTTATTAATTAGAAAAAGAGAAAGTTTTTACATTACATAGAATTACATAATACAAAATACACAACTTATTCTAATTTTTATTTAAAAAGATGAGACTTGTGCCTGCAACTTACCACCTGACAAGTAAACTTGCCCTAGGTGAAAAAACAATATTTTTTGACCACAGGAATATTTAATACAAATGATCAACAGAAAGTGCAACTGAAGAATGGGATTTCATAATAAATTTTTTAATATTTATAATTTTTGTGTGGTTAGTAGCCTCAATCTTTTTCTTGACCTTTTGAACTTTTTTGGATCTTTCTTGTCTTAGGGCTGCAGAAGTAGAAGTAGTTAATGAAGCTGATATAGTTGAGCAATGTTTAAATTCACAATGATTAATATTGTGAAAAAACTAATTTGGTGAAAAGTTGATTTCAGATAAGTTTTTTTACCTTTTTCTTTTCTTTTGTCTTCCTCTTCTGTGAGTCAGAGGAGCAATAGGCATAGATAGTTGAATTATCCATATTATTATTCATTGAGATAAATAATTTTGAAAATTTGAAAGTTGAATCAGATAAGTTTTTTTTTCAGCTATTAATATATGTTAGATATGAAACAATTTTTTTTGCCTGATAATATGAATATGCAAAATGAAAAATATTGCATACTATTCTCACTATTATGGTTGGTTTTTTCAAGTTTTCAAGTTTTTAATTTTGAATTTTCGAATAATAAAGGGTCAAACTAAATTAAGTAATTTTTATTATTATTTATTTCCAATAATCTTCGCATCGTGTCTAAAATTTATATATAAACAAGATGAATAATAATAAGTAATTTTATTAAATGAATAAAGAAATGAATAAAGAATAGAATAATCGAACATTCTAATACACAAGGAGCACGGGCCAATTGGAAAAATATTAAAATTATTCCGATTATATCTTTAGTTTGTTTTTAATACCATTTTTTCACAAGATAACCAAGATGCATGTTAATTTACAAACATCGGAAAATAATTTTTTTATTATCAAAAATTCCTCCCTTAAAATACTACACAACTTCTTGCCGTAATTTTTTGATGTCTCATTATTAACAATTTTTCAAATGAAACGAATAATTTCAATAATAATGATAATTTACTTATTTTATTGTACAACCTGATTTCTGTTCATGTGATTTCGTTAACTGCTTTGAATTTCCTTCGATATAAATTTACTCATAAAAAAAATAGTAAAATGTTTTCATCACGCGGACGAGCTGTTCCAAATATATATCCCCTCTACTGCTACCTGAATCACACCAGAATTACTTCCCATCCACAATTCTCACCGCCATTCCCACCGCCATCACCACCACTAGTACCCATCATCGCTTCTATCATTCTCACCACCATTTCCAAGTAGATTTAGTCCTTATAATAGGACTAGATCTACTATTATCAATACCATTTAGACACACAAAGTAGAAATAACACCATAGATTTTGCCACAGGAGTCTGGTAAGATGGATCAGAATATCTTTAAACTCCATGTGTAGGATCAGACATTAAGAAGAAGAAGAAGAAGATGGATGGTGTTGTAATTGTTGTTATTAGTTGTTGTTACGGTGATGACGATTATTATGGTGCTGACCATAAAGATGATTATTATTATTACTATATATTATTATTTTGAATTATTATAATTATCATTATCACTGGTTGGTTATTGAGAATATTATAACAATATCGTTATATGTTCAAAAAAAAAATATCAAGAATAAATAGATATTACTTTGGTAATTATATGTAAATAGAAGATTAATATTTATAAGTGTATGTAAATAAAAATGTTTATAAAAATTCATAAATAAAAAATTGCAATAAATAAAAATATAAATATAAACATATAAAAATGTATAAAGAAACATAAAAATGTATTTCGTTGAATAAAATTATTTCTTTGAAAAAAATCAATATCATTGATTAAAAGAATATGTACACTGACCTAATGTTTAATATGGGTCTTACCTTAGAATGTAATTGAGTTATCTGTACAAATATTTAAATATTCATAAAAAGATTATATTAGTGGTATGTTCTAGCACGATGAGCCAAAGGTTAAGCAAGGAAATATATTTTCTGTTTTAATTTATTGTATTTTCTCTTGCTTTCTTATATTAATCATCTTATTATATTTCATTATATTTTATTATATTTCATTATATTTTATTATATTTACATTATATTTTATTATATAGTATTATATATAATTATTACATTAAAAAAACAATCGAATTGAACGAATTTATATTTTACTAAATGTTGCGAATTATCTCTGAATTTTTTTATAGCTTTATAATCCAAAATTTATCGTTACATAAATATGAATAGAAATACCGCAAGAAATTTTCAACGAACGCATTTTACAACAATAAATATACAATAATTTAATAGTTTAATTTTAAGTTTGCAAAAAAAAAAAATGAATATAACTTGTTGTATAACGGTATTAGTTACATGTTTATGCATTATGTTTTCTACAACGTCGTAGTGTTTACATTATTCACATTATTTATATTTTAGTTTCGTTAAGTGTCAACTGTAGTATTTTTGGATATTGATCTCGTTTTTAACTTCATTAGAATTGTTGATTTCGTTAACAGTAATCTAGTTTTTAACTTGATTATTATTGTTGATTCCGTCAGCAGTTAACATTTGTATTGATTTCGTTTTTAACTTCATTATAATTGTTGGTTTCTTCAATTATATTGAAAACTATTTTCCAGTCACAGTTTCACCAGATCACCACAATCAGTGATTTTTTTTTATCATTCTGAAAAATGTCTTTAACATATATAGTAAATGGATTAAAAAAAAAATTGATGATAAAACATTTGGAAATATTAAACGAATCGCAAGTGGAGCATTTAGAACGGTTTTATCGTGCTGATTCAATAAATTTAGGAAAACATGTTGCATTAAAAAGGTTGCTTTCGAGATGAAATTAAAATTTGAAAACAATTTCTTGGAATCACAGTTAAAAATATCATGGCTGTAAATCACCATGATAATATTATTAACTTAGGTACTATTTATATATTATTCATTATTTATTAAATTCATAAATATAAAAATATTATCGTCAAATAAAATTATTATTTAATAAAACTATTATTTAGGTCCTAATATAGGACGTACTACTTAATATTGTAGTATGCTAAAGAGGTGACCTGAGGACTTATTTACGAAATAATTTAAAATTAATATGGATAAATAGTTCATAATGATTTAGTAAGTATATATATATATATATAAAATAATTATTTAAATTATAATTATTATTTATTTAATTGGATATCTAAATTCATTTACTTTAATAGCATCCAAAAAACATTTTAGTTCATGAAGAAAGGCTATTGATAACAGATTTGGGATTATCTCAACCATTAGATTCTAATTCCATGTCTGGTGGAATGGTTGCATACACTTGATCCTGAATATTTACGAAATCAAGTAGAGGTCCTTCATTTAATAATATTCCAAGTTTAGAAATATGTAGAAAGGTTACTTCCGGTGAAAGAGAGAAATCTATTAACGAAACACCAAAAGATTATATCATATATTCAAGTGCATGGAAAAATGATCCAAATCAAAGGCCAAAAAATAGTCTCTAAGCAAAGACTTACTGGAACTTTAAATAATATAAAATACAAATAATATATATCTCTCTATCTACATTTTTAAATTTTTACTTAAGAAAAATTATAAATAAATTTAAATAAATATAAATAAATATAAATATCTCTATCTATTTTTTTTTTTTTTTAGATTTTATTAAGAAAAATTATTATAAATAAAAATCAAGAAATAAAAAGTATTATTATAACTCTCTTTCAAATTTTTCTATTTCTTTCCTATGAAATTTTTTTATAAATTATTCTCAAAAGTAATAGCCAAATTATCTCTATGTATTACACACTCGGAATCAGCGTACCCCAATATTTTTTCAATATCCAAACTTTTACATCCCTTAATTCTGGAAATTTCCGTTGATGAATAATTAACTAACCCTTTACCGACAGATATTAATTCTACTCTATTTTCAATATTATCATTATCACTTTCTTTTTTGATTTTCTCAAAAACTATTTCAACTGCTTGTTGAGCTACAAAATTTCCTTCGACCTTAATTATTCCAGCTGCGAATAAACTACTTTTTTGTCTAACTTTTGTTATCGCTCGTACCGCTCCCTCATCAATATATATGATACCTGCCGTATGTAACCCATGTAATATCCACCATTTTCGATCAACTATTGGATTATTTTTGGCAATAAATCTCGTATGTAAAGGTATATTATTATTATTATTATTATTATTATTATTATTATTAGAAGAAGAAGAAGAAGAAAGATTATCATTATTAAAATTATTAATGAGGAGTAATATATTCTTAGGATTTGATCCACGGCATATTATTGTGGTAATTCCGGCAGCTGTTGCAAGATCTGCCGCAATAAGTTTTGTAACCATTCCACCTGTACCCAATAAACTTCCAGGCGACGAAACTATCACTATCAATTTATTTATTTAATGAATATTAGATGGATATTTAATGGATATTTATTTAATGCGCACGTTATTACATAAAAAACAAACAAAATAAAAGTTATATCTTCGAACCTTGATTTTTCAAAGCACCAATATCTTCAACAACTTCAATAGGTTTGGCATTAGGATTGGTTCGTGGATTATCAGTATATAAACAATCCACATCCGTCATTAAAAATAAGTAATCCGCGTTAACCATTTTAGCTGTAATGGCAGAAAGTGTGTCATTGTCTCCAAATTTGATTTCCTATTTTTGAATTAGAAAAGATTATTTGTAAAGAAAATATAAAATAATAATAATAATAATGATAAAATGATAATAATTAAATTTAATAAATAATAAATTTATAAAGGATACTTACACTTACAGAAACAGTATCATTCTCATTAACAATAGGAACTACGCCCATAGCTAATAATTCAGAGAAAGTATTAACTGCATTAAGATATTGAGTACGCTATGATGAGATAAATGAGTTCACAAATTTGTTGAATCAAAGAAATCGAAGCAAATATATTATTATTATTATTATTATTATTGCTTACATCGGCTAAATCATGTCTAGTCAAGAGAATTTGAGCAATTGGTTGATTTAATTGACTAAATAAATCATCATACATTCTCATCAATCTTCCTTGACCAACAGCTGCCAAAGCCTATAGAACAAAATTGATTATTATTATTAGTAGTATTATTATTATTATTATCATGCAAAAAATTTTTAAATTAACTTGATTTAATAGTTGAAATAATTGAATTACTTGAATTGAAGCTAATTTCTTTGGTTTCTTATCCATTTCTAATCTTCTTAGTCCAACTCCAATCGCACCACTAGTAACTAAAACCACTCTATGTCCTAAACCACGAAGTTTTATTACGGTCTCAACCATCAGCGAAAGATTTGATAATAATGGTAAATTCGTTTCTTCTTCACATATTGATGATGTACCAAGTTTTATTACTATGGTTGATCTTTGACTACGAGGATTTTTCTGAGACATTACAACGCGTTGTTGGGATTTAGTCATTAGTACAAGAAAATTTTAGATAGATCTACCTCGTGAGGATCATCCCGTGGCACAATAATATTGATAATTATAATAAAGATATATTTATCAAATTCATGAAATGATCAGAATGAGAAAAATTACTTGTAACGTTCCAAATGATATAATTAAATTAATCTACATTTTAAACGAATTATCTTTACATCATTTTCAAAAAAAAATGCAAATATCGAATATATATCAAATTTATATATAAATATATCTTATTTTTATTATTATTTTAATTCTTTACTAATTCTTTTAACCAACACCATAAAAATTCAATAAACAACAATAAACACGAATCGGATGTCATTAACAATAAATTATTTACCAAATTATTCGCCTAACAAGATATGAAGAAACCTATAAAAAATAAAATTAAAATAAATTAAAAACAAATTAAAATAAATTAAAAAAAATTAAATCAAATAATTAAATAAAATAAAAGTCAAGGTTAAATAAAAATAAGTTTATATTAAACATAATACATACTTAGGATCAACTTTAGTTGAGGCTTTACGGTGAATCTTTGATTTTTGAACTTTACCAGCCTTACGTTGTTCAGCCCTAATAATTTCGGCTCTTTGTAAAACTTTAGCATAAGGATTTAATCGGATTTTTATACCATTATTACGAAGAGGATTTTTCTTTTGAGTCCAAGGACGTTTTTGATGTTTTTCTCCTGCTGGTCGAAGAACTTTTTGAATAATAGTGGAATTAATGATGCTAGTAATATCTGGATTGGAAACAAGAGTACTTGGAAGGCTTTAAAAAAAAAAAAAAAATACATAAATGAATTTAAATCGTTGATATTATTTAAATTTAAATCGTTCAGTATTTAATTTATATATAAAATAGAAATAATAACTATAAAAAATAATTACCGATAATTTTTTTTCAATTTTGCAGCTCTCTTATAAGTTCCAAATAAGTCATCCAACAAAGAAAAGGCAGATTGTGACCAAATAATAAATCTACCCAAATGACCACCAGGTGCCAATTGTAATAAATTTAAAGTTTTAACATTCACCAACTCAACTCCGGGAATGTTACGAAAAGCTTTAACGAGACCACGATCTTCATTATAAACTATCAAAGGACCTCGACGTTGACGATGACGCCTATTACGTAGTTTACCCTTACCAGCTCTTAATTTACGAGAATTTGAAACCTTAACTACATCTCTGTAAGCATGAACCTTTTTTAAAAGTTCGACGGCAGCTTTGGTTTTAGCTAATTCTTCGATATTATCCGAAATTACCAATGGGACTTCTTCAATTTCTTCAATACGATGACCTCTGGCCAAAACAAGGGAAGGAATGGAAGATGCTGCTAAAGCTGATGCAGCAGCAAATCTTTTTTGATTTAAATTGGTTTTGACGTGCCATTTACGCCAAATTTTTGTAGGTGAAAACATCCGACCTCCCCTACACATGTTACCAAAAGCTCCCTAATAAAATTAAATATCTTTGATTAATATTCTTTAAAATCTTTGATTAATATTCTTTAGAATTTTAATTAATATTCCTTAATATCTTAATTAATATCTTTGATTAATATTCTTTAATATCTTTGATTAATATCTTCAAGATAAATTTTCCTCATCACCCAAACACTCTCAATTGAAAGAAGAAAATAATTACTTGTCCAGCGCGGTGAGTACCTCCTCCAGAAACACGAGGAATACGAGCAACAGCACGACCCGTACCCCAAGATTCAGCCGAAGTTTGATGCCCAGCTTTTGATGATACGGCATAAGGTTGACGACTACACTTGGAAACATTTTTATGAACAAATCTTACAACATCAGGTCGAATTGGAGCTTTAAATACAGCAGGTAACACTACAGTTGTTGTTGTTTTATCTCCTGTATCGGAGAATACATTAATTTGAGGTCTACCCGCAGACTATATGTATGTATTTATATATACATATATATTTAAATTTAAAATATTATTAAAAATTATTTTCCAAATTGATTTTTGAGATTTGAAAATGGGGAACGTTTAATTAATCCATTACAATTTTTATAATAATTTCATCATATTTGATTCTTTTAATTCATAAAAAAATATCTAATTAATTAATATTCAATAATAAGATTAAATGAAAATATTTTAATAATGAAAATCTTTGTCCAAGATCTAAATAACGACAATCTCATATTTTCAATTAAAAAATGAATTATGAAAATTATTTTCATTTAGAATGAAAATATGAGATTATCGTTATTTAGATCTTTGGAACGTTATATCTATTATATATCTTCCATTTTCCCAACCAAATTTATTAAAATATTCTATTCAGTCTTATGAATAATTAATTAGTCACGGTTCATACGCTACTTTATGAATTACAAGAATTAAATAATGATATAACCATTGTAATGGATTTAAAGAAAAAAAAAAACTCACCATCTTTTCTTGATGACAATAGCGGTACAAAAGGGAAGATCAATTTTAAATAATAATAATTTATTTTATATGAGAATTTCTGATTGGCTAAATGTTGAATTTTTTTTTTTTAGCAAATTTATTAATAAATTAATAACAAATTTTAATATTAAGCATTGACTTAATTTTAGATCTCATAATAACATTTAATTACAATGGATCAATCAATAAATTTAGGAATATCAATTTATCATGACTATTAAACAAGATTAAAAATTAATATTAACAATATCAATTAAAAGAAATAGAACGTTCTTTATTATTATTTTTAATTCGATTTATCCAAAAAAAAAAAATCATAAAATTTGTTACAGGCGAGGCGAAATATTAACATGATTTATTTGCCAATAAAATAAGATTTAAATAAATAATAATAATAATTTATTTATTTATTTATTTGCCGATACCTACAAATAAAAATATGAAAAATAATAATACAATAATAATAAATAATTTTATTAAATATAAATAATATCAATAATAATAATAATAACAATGATAATGATAATGGGTAATAAAACTAACCAATAACTCCACAAACAAGACGGGCTCCTGCGTTACCAGTTGTGGGAGAAAGATCATGACCACCTTTACCCAAGTCATCTTCATCAGCATGAACAATTATAGTTCGTCTGTTATTTTTCAGATAATGGTGCAAAGAATCATTATGAATGATGATGAATAGTAAAGAATGATAAAAAAGAATTATGATGAATGATAAAGAGAATGTTGAATAATAAAGAGAATGATGAATGACAAAGAAGAAATGTTGAATGATAAAGAGAAAATGATGAATTTCATACCCAATGATGGAATTGTCTCCATACAAACTAATATTCTTATCAGTAATTGTCGTTTTAACATTTCCATTAGAATCTGCTGTGACATTACCTAAATCACCTACATGCCTATTTTCATCCTCTGGAGCTCCGTGTGTCTTACCAAATGGATTAAAATGAGGTCCAGCCGATGTACATCCATTAGTATTATCCCCGAATTCACTAAAAGAAAGGGATGTGTGTGTGTGTGTTAGAATTTATTTATTTATTTATTTATTTATTAAATTAATTAATTTCTAAAATTTATTCCTCGTCTTTTTTATTATTAATTATTATTTCAAAACTAAAATAATTCTCTCCCTTTTAAATTATAATTAAATAACATAATAATAATAATTAATAATATAATGATGAATTTAAATAAAATAAATATTTACTGAATATGGAAACCATGTTTTCCAGGTGTTAAACCTTTGATGTCTATTTCAACTTGAGTAGGTTTTTCCTTTTCTTGAGTGAAAATTACGGTACCCTCGGCTTTAACATTTGGGTTATCTTGAAGAAGTTTGGCGACAAATTTTCTTTTCATTTTTTTTCTTTCTCAAAGGTATTATTATAAAAAAAAAATTATTTTATTTATTTCAACAATAAATGATATCAAATTGATATGAGGGAATTTTTTTCTATTGAGGGATTTATGCGAAAAAAGTTATGATTAGTAATATGAGATGCTTAATTAGAGCTTAATTTACTGCTTAAATGAACCCTGTGAAACCAAAACTAAAAATCTAAACTTTATCTTCAAATAACTCATCATGTGAAGATAATCTGAAATAGTGATGATGATGTGTTTTAACTATGTTTATTTTTATTTTATTATTACAAAGAAAGCCCGAGGAAACATTTTGGGAAACAGATCTTACACGCCCGAGGAATTCGAAATTCTGCAAACAACCTTAGACAAACAATTAGGACCCGAGTTTTCTAAGGATCTAGCGTTAGTATGTAAATTAAAAAAAATAGTTGGGAAATTATGTTGAGACGTGGAAAGTAATAAATATTGTTTTTGGTTTTAATGGATGGACCTTAAGTGTTGAGGATATAACCGTGGATTGATTGTAATATTTGTAATATTTAAAATAAAAGATTAAATTATTAACAATTACAATAATATAATTACAATGCAACAATAGGTTGACGGAAGGTATTCAGTTAGTATTTCAGCCATTATCTTACCATACGGTACTTAACTAAACTAATCTTATGTCTTAATTTTATTTATTTGTGTCTAGAAGCTATAAAAATTTAATTATTCATACTGTAAATAATAATAATAATAATAATAATAACAGGATTTAGAGTATGGATTAGCTAATAACATGATGATAAAAGTTCTGGCCTTTGAAAAAGTTATTATGATATAATGAAAATGATGTTAAAATATTTAATAATATCTAATAACATTAAATAATACAAAAATAATATCTTAATTTTTAAATTTAATTTTTCAAAAAGAAGTAGTTACTGATGCAATAAAAAGAACTTGGGAATGTTTGGCAATGTATATGTAATTGTTTATATGATAAAAATTATGCATAGTATGTTATTAAATTAAAAGTGCCTCTTGTAAGTAATAAATTAATTTAGTGAATTGTTTTAAGAATAAATATTAACTTAATCTTTTAAAAAGAAAATTTTGGACCTGATAATTTATTACACGAACCTGAGTTCTCCATTGTATCCAATAAGAGACAATCAACAAATTCAACTCAAAATACTCTAATATAACTAAACCTGATACATCACACCCTCACGGTCAAATCAATTATGTCAGAATATCCATCAAAATAATAATGTAGTTGCAAAAGTGTGTCTCTTTTCAAGCTCAGGAAAACCCAAATTCGAATAATATGAAAAATGTGAATAATGTAAATAGTGTGAAAAATTTGAACACTGCTAATAATATGAAACGATTGAATACTGTCAATATTTTCAAGTAATAATATTATCAATTTTTATTTAACTTGTAAAAAAATCTTTTGACCGATGTAATCCTTGATTTGGTGTCATAGATATTATTATAGAATTCATATTTTTTTCATTTTCAATGTCATTATCCTATAATATATTAAATATATTGATCGATATTTAATTAATTATAAAATTGTTGATATTAATAAATATTAATAATAAAAATTATATATATATATATAAATAGATATGCAGAAATATAAAAATATATATTTACTCTTTAAATCAAGAAGCACACCAAAACTTTAAATCCTAATTCTCACCTTAATCAATGTATCTAATAATTTCTAATAATTTGTCTATTAATTTTATTAATTTAGTGTTATTTTTTATAGTCCAACAAATTCATCCTCCTACAAAGAAATCTAAATCTTAATAATTTAGAAGTAATGATAATTATTCATATTTATTTTTTTAAAAAATATTCTCATTCATTATTGTTATAATAATGAATTATTAAAATAAAAAGGTTAATATCAAAAATGTAAATTTCAACAGCAACAATAATAATGAGAAAGGTGATATTATTTATTAAAAAACTCGAGATGATATGTAATTTTTTACTCACTGAATCTGCATTCAAAGCCAAAATATTATACAAGTGTAATATATCTCCCAAAAATCTAGATTAGAGGATATAATTAATAATATTTATAAAATTCCTTTTCTATATCTATAATAAATTCTATATAAAATGTTATGTATAAAAATACATATGAAATAAATTTATGTGTTCAATATTTTTGTAAGTTTAATCCATTATTGATTAATTTCTTTATAACAGTCAAAAGTGAATCATTTTCATAATTAATTTTTCTCTTGACTTGAATATTTAATTAATGCTTTTATACAATTAAAAGTAAATTATAAATGATTTATCTTGAATTTCATGAAAATCTTTACTTTTCCTTTTAAATATCCTTCTTTTGAGATTTGATTAATGTCTTTATAATGTTCAAATGTGAATTATTTCATTTTTACAATTTTGTTTGAGATGATTTGATGTGAAGTTGTATAATTATTTGGGATTTGGAATTTGGAATTAGGGATTTGGGATTTGAGATTTGGATTTGGGAATGGAGTTTGAGATTTGAGATTTAAGATTTGAGATTTAGATTTAGGATTTGGGATTTGATTTAAGATTTGAGATTTGGGATTTGGGATTTGAAATTTAATATTTGAAATTTGAAATTTTGGAATTGAAATTTTAATTTGGGTAGTATGTATAATAATGGATAAAGTTGTTATAGAGAATGTTATAAAATTGAGATTTGAGATTGGAATTTGAAATTTGGAATTTGGAATTTGAGATTTGAAATTTGGGATTTGAAATGTGAAGCTAAATTATGTTGAGAAGAAAAATAGAAAAATAATAATATTATTAGAAAATTGAAATAGTATAAAATCTCTTTACTTATAGAAACAGTAATTACTGATCGAAAATTGATAAATAATACACATATCGGGTACCCGATATGTACATGGTACGTTCCTAATATTGAACATATATTGGGTATCCAATAGGTGTAGAAAATATTTTATATATATATCAGGTACCCAATAAGTGTAAAAAATATTTCTACACATATCGGGTACCCGATATATGCCCGATATTAGGAATGTACCATGCACATATCAGATACCTGATATGTATATTATTTATTAATTTTCGACCAGTGAATGGAGCAATATTTAATGTTTTTACCCACCCTTTATCCTTAAAACCTTTACAAGTAAAAAATGAATAGGAAAGAAAAAAAGAATAGAAAGAAAAAGAAATAGAAAGAAAAGAAAAAAAATTTTTATTATTTTTCTTATTTTTTATTTTTTATTTTTTTTTATTTTTATTTTTTAAAATTTTTTTTTATATTTATATTTATATTTTACCCACCCCTTACCCTTAAAACCTTTATGAATAAAAAGAATAGAAAAGAAAAAGAATAGAAATGAAAATAGAAATGAAAAAAAAGAAATAAAAAGTAAAAAAGAAATAAAAAAAAGAATTTTTTATTTTATTATTTTTTATTTTTTTTATTTTTATTTTTTAATTTTTTTTTATATTTATATTTATATTTAAAAGAAAAAATGAAAGAAAAGATAAAGAAAAAGAAATTTATAAAATTAAAATTAAAAAAATTCAAGAAAATTAATATCCAAAATAAAACTTGTACTCTTTATTATTCCATTTCTCCTGCAATTCCTTTTCCCTCCTGACAAGGTATTTATTCCATTTTTGTACCCCTACCTTATCAGGAATGTTCAAATAAAATTCAGCATTAAATTCTCCAAAATTTTTGGTGGTAATTGATTATATGGCCAATGATCTTTACCATAGAGATAATAATGACATAAGTTTACCTTTATGGATTTTATCCTTCCCAAAGTGCATGGTGATTTCACCAAAACTATTTCATTGGAATCTTCTAAAGGGGATGGAAGCATCTTAAGATGATTCCATCCTGTCTTGATATTGTCATATTCATCATAGGTAAAGTTGGATGACATTGGAATGTCAATTGGTAAAGACCTGGTCATTTCAGGAACCTGAGGAGAAGGAATAGAGTTCACTGGAGGTGAACAATAAAGAGTACTGATCTGTGTCTTTTTTAAAGACATGACCAAAGAAAGATTTAATTTTATTGAAAAGCTCCATTGCTGTTAAGAAATAAAGAAAATAAAGAAAAAGTAAGAAAAAGTAAGAAAAAGTAATAAAGAAAAAAGAAATAAAAAAAAAAGAAATAGAAAGAGAAAGAGAGGGGAGAGAGAATAGAGGTAGAGAGGTATATATAAGGAGAGAAAGAGAAATAGGTAAATAGAGATATATATGGGGGAGGATGAAAGATAAGATATAAAGAGTGATATTTTTATAGGGAGAGAGAAATGTGGATGGGTGAAGAGGGAAGGTAGGAGGGTGGGAAATAAGATATAAAGGGAATGATATATATAGGGAGAGATATGGAGAGAGAGATATGAGGGAGGGCGAGAGAGAGAAAAAGAAAAAAGAAAAGTGAAAGGGAAAAAAATAGAGTAGAAAAGAAAAGAAAAGTGAAAAAAAATAAAGATGAAAAAATAAAATATAGAAAAAAGTAAGTAGAGAGATAGATAGTGAAGAGAAATGCAAGAGAAAATTTTATAATTGTATAGATGCAGTAATTGTAATTGTAAAATTCGATTTTTTAAGTTTTTGAGGAAAAGAGGTGAATCTAAAAAAGAGGGTATATATAGTTTTAAAAGTCTCATGATCAGCGCAAGAAATAGACAAAAAATTTTTTTTTGTTGTGATGATCCTTATACGCGACACGCGATAAGAATCATGTGAGTTATCGAAGATTTTCACCAGAAAACTACTTATTTTCTTTATTAAAAAAAGAACAGCAACTTCTTTGATATCTATATTTTATTTATTTTATTTAATTTAATTAAAAATATGTTAAAAACGTTTAAAGTCATAGTTTCCCATTCTTCAACTCTTGTTTTCATTATCGTTCATTTTGTCCTCCACAACCATCCTACTTCATATAGTATTCGTCGCCTTAAAAATCTTATTTGTCATTCTTTCATAAAAACTATTGAATATTCTAAGAAGTCACTGTTAAAGGTCGTGCCTTATCTAAAGAATTTAAAGAAGATGAAATAATAATTCCAAACCAATTTATTTGAGTAGATATAAAAAAATATTGTCATTTTCTTCTTTATCATGCGATTAATATATTATTCACGTGTCTCTTTAATAGCAAGCTGGAGATGGCGAAAACTTCTCGGCATATCTCCAATGTGACATTAATAAAAGGTGATCGCAATACCTCCGGGACCAACAAATGGTGTGATTAAAGAGGAGAGTTCTTTTAATATAGTCTTTTATATATAAGATGAAGCAATTTACTTCTCATTCAAAGCAAGGCAACCTGATAAATACAAATTGCCTTAATGAGAATACCTCTTTTTGAAAAACCAGTAACTAATGTTTAAATATTTTTTTAAAATTATTGTTCTCTTTCTCTCACTTTATTATTTTAAGATAAATACAAATCTTTAATTAATTTTTTACGCTTTTTTTTTTCTAGAAAAATACATTCATTCGTATATTTATTAATGATGGTAATAATGTTTTTGTATCTCAAATAATAATCGCATTTCTTTTTATTTATAAAATAAATTTTGATTTGACTAAATAAAAAATAATATTAACTTTTATTTGAACATCAATATATTATTAAATATCTACAAGTAATGGTAAGAATTCCAATATCATATCTTTTGGTAAAGTCACATTATCCTCATAATTAATAATTTCATTATTTGTGAAACTTTCAGCAATGGTGGATAAAAATGGTTTGAATGGTGGCGGGATTAATACCAACGAACAATATTGAACGAAATATCAAAATTAACAATTTTTTTTTTTTTTTTAAAAAAAAAAAAGTTCATATATTACGCGAAATTTATGATGAAAATTCGCTAAGATAAAGATTATTAAATTAAAATCGATAATATCAGGATTAGCCAAAATTTTGTTAACATTAATCATTTGAATTGATTCTGATTCTTTACATTTTTGACATGAAGTATGAGTTTTTAATTGCTTTATAATTGATGCACTTTTTTTCACATTTTTTAATGGCAGTTGAATTATCTTTATTGTTATCATCTTTGTGGTTCGAGGAATAAGAAAACTGGGAGAGAAAATTTTTAAATGATCGATCTCCGGAGTAATCATTTTAAACTTTTGAATAGATCTCGTTATATATTTAATAATTATTTTATTTTTTATCACAGCGTTTTGTGTTTTTGAAATATTTAAAATATTTATAATATAATGATGTATAATAGTAATATACTTCTCTCCCCCATAAATTAAAAATCGATATAATATCTCATGTAAAGAAAATTAAAGAAAAATAAAGAAAAATAAAGAAATCATTTTGAATTAGAATTTTTAACATCGTCAATTAATATTGAAATCAAACTAGGATCCGATATAGTGGTTAAATCACCGAGTTGATCAGTTTCACCCGCTACAATTTTTCTTAAAATTCTTCTCATAATTTTACCACTTCGAGTTTTGGGTAAATCTTTAACAATGTAAACTCTTCTAGGAGTAGCGAAAGACCCAATCACATTACGAACCTGTAATTTTAACTCGTTTACATCGGTGGTACCTTCTTGATCAGTTTTTAAAGTGGTAAAAGCATGTACACATTGACCAGTTAAATCATCATGAACTCCAACCACTGCAGCTTCAGCTACCGATGGATGAATAAGTAAAGCTGATTCAATTTCAGCAGTTGATAAACGATGTCCGGATACATTTATTACATCATCCACTCGACCTCGAATCCAATAATAACCATCTTTATCTCTACCTACTCCATCCCCTGTAAAATAATAACCATGATAATGACGAAAATATGTGTCGAGATATCTTTCGTGATCATTATATATTGTACGAGCAATTGAAGGCCAAGGCTTACGAATAGTTAATACACCTTCTGCTTCAACATCTTTAATTTCTTCTCCAGTAATAGGATCCAATATAACGGGCTCAATACCAAAGAATGGATATACGGCTGAACCAGGTTTTGTAGGAAAAGCTCCAGGTAATGGGGTAATAATGGTTGATCCAGTTTCAGTTTGCCAATAAGTATCAACTATTGGACATTCTTTCCTTCCTATCACATCATTATACCAATCCCATGCTTCAGGTTGAATCGGTTCACCCACTGTACCAATTAATCTTAAACTTGAAAGATCATGACCTTCCACATGCTCTTTACCATGTTTACGTAATAATCGAATGGCGGTAGGTGCGGTATAAAATTGAGTAACCTTATGTTTTTTTACTGTTTCCCAATATCTTGATGGGGAAGGATATAAAGGAGTAGATTCAAATAATACACTAGTTGCACCATTCGCCAATGGACCATAAATAATATAAGTGTGACCAGTAACCCATCCAATATCTGCCATACAACCATGAATATCTCCTTCATGATAATCGAATACATATTTAAAACTAACTGCCGAACCTAATAAATAACCTCCTGTAGTATGAAGTAAACCTTTCGGTTTACCAGTTGAACCTGAAGTATAAAGTATAAAGAGTGGATCCTCGGCATTAACAATTTGGATCGGACAATGAGGACGTTGCTTTTTAATTTCATCATGCCACCAAAGATCTCGAGTTGAATTAAAGGGAACATCGGATCCCGTACGACGAAATACCAAAACGTGTTCAACGATAGGACAATTTTTTACAGCAGCATCAACAATCTTTTTAATATTAATGGTTTTTCCACCACGACGACCTTCATCCGCGGTAATGACGAATTTACTTGAAGCATCCAAGATACGATCTTTTAATGCCTCGGAAGAAAATCCGGCAAATACCACCGAATGAATGGCACCTATTCGAGCACAAGCCAAAAACGAAATGACCGCTTCTGGTACCATTGGCATATAAATAGCCACGGTATCACCTTTTTTCACGCCGTAAGATTTTAAGACGTTGGCAAGACGGCAGACATCACGTAATAATTCACCATAAGTAACTTTACGACCTTGATCAGGTTCATCAGCTTCATAAATGATAGCGACCTATATGTTATATATATATATATATAATATAATAAAAATGTAATAATAATAATATAATAATATAATAATATAATAATATAATAATATAATAATATAATAATATAAAGTATATTTAATACATAAAGTATATATATTAAGAATATTAAGAACAATACTCATTTCACAAATTTCACATATTTCACATATTTCACATCACATATCATAAATTATCATAAATTACCTTATCAGGATTCTTAAGAGCATGCCTATCCACACAATTATAAGTGGCATTTAATTCACCTTCTTGAAACCATGCAATATTTCCATGTTCAAAATCACCGGAACGGACAGTTTCGAAAGGTTTATGCCAGTGAAGGAATTCTTTGGCAAGCTGTGTATAAAATATAATATAATAATATTTGATTTTAATTTAATGAATTATTATTATTTATATAATTTAATAATAACAGTAATGATTTATAATAATTAAAGAATAATTAAAGAATAATAACAAAGGATAATAAGAAAGGATAATAAAGGATAATAAAGAATACTTACCCTTGCCCAAAATTCATCAGGATTATCAATACTCTCTTCATAAAGTTCTTTGTATTTTTGGATTGAGTCGATATGAGGTTTAGGACATATTTTTTCATTCAATAAACGTGAAGGAATTGGATGAATTGGATGTTCCATCTTATGATCGGCAGACATTGTTTTATTAATAATTTTATTATTTAGAGAGGTAAAAAAAGATGTTGATTGTTCTCTTTGTTGGTATATTTATATATGTAACAATCATATCACACGTGTATCCATCAAAATTCTTTATTAATTATTAATGATTAATCAGCACTTGAGAAAAAATTCTGGGTAAATGATTTTCTTCAAAACGGGTAGATACGTTTTTAAAAAATACTAAATTACCAGTTTTTCTAATATTAATTTTGAAACCATTTCATTAACATCCTTATTTATCATCAATATTAATAATATTAATAGTAATAGTAATTTCTTAAAATTTGATGTGCACGAAATGACTTTTTTGATGAACATTTGAAAGCTCAGGGTTACACATGAAATTTATTAATTGGCTGATATATATGGCTTAACGGTTATATAGAGAGAAAATTGATATATATTCGTTGTTGAATTAAAATATCTTTGAGATGGACGAAACAAGTGACAATATCACTGGTTTGTTTTAAAAAATTTAAAAATTTAAAAATTTAAAAATTCTAAAAAGTTTAACGTTTGATGGGTTATACTGCTAATAAAGATTTTACTTCCATAAAAGCTTCACGTTCCTCACTTTCCACTGGAACCACAAGTAATATCTCAATCAATCTTCTAAGAAATGATTCCACATATACAATAGACCGATCCCCACCCAATGTAGTTCAGAATTTTTTATCTGAAAGTGTTATTACGAAAAATAGGTGGTCATTTAATGTAACCTGGGAAACTGCCATTCAAAATATAACATACATTTTATGTTGGTATTTCTTTTCCACGGCATTATCATTTTATAATAAACATCTTATGGGAAGAGATTATTTTAATTTAAATCTTCCAATCTTTGTGAGTGCGTTGCATAGCGGAATGCATTTCTTAATAACGTTCGCAATGATGAAAGGATATTTATCGTTTATTTATAAAAAACCGGAAGAAAAATTTGTTTCATCAAATAATTATTTGAATCGAGTAGTAAGTTAATTAAATATATTATTATTATTTCGTTTTCACTATTTTTTTTTTTATTATTATTATTATTGGGAAAAAAATAAAGGAAAAGAAATTTAAGATATAAGAGAAATTTTGTTATTATTATTATTATTATTCAAGTAATTCTTGAATTATTTGTTATATATATATTTTTTTATATTCTTAAATATATTTTAGGTTCCATGTGCTCTTGGTGCAGCATTTGAAATATGTATGGCAAATGCTTCACTTGTGTTTATTACTTTGAGTTTTTATACCATGGTAAGAAAAATTAAGGAATTATTGATTATTATTATTTATTATTATTTATTATTATCAACGATTAACTTTAACGATAATTATTATTAACAATTATTATTTTTTCATTTCTGGATAATTTCGATTCAATTACTTTTCATTTCTGGATTTAATTATTAACGATTTAATAATGATTAATATTTATTAAAATAACGATTAATAACTATTAATAACTATTAATAACGAATAATAATTTAATAATAATAATTTAATGATAATTTAATAATGATTTGATAGATAAAATCATCAACACCAGTTTGGGTTCTTATGTTCGCATTTATATTTAGATTGGAACAACCTAGAATGATTTTAGTATTTATAATATCAATAATAAGTATTGGAGTAGTGATGACAGTTTTTGGGGAAACTCAATTTAATTTAATTGGATTTTTATTGGTTCTAGGGGCATCAATAATTAGTGGATTAAGGTGGTCAATAACTCAAATGTTACTTCAAAAAGAGGAGGCGATGAATAGTCCATTCGCTACTCTTTATTATTTATCCCCAATTATGTTTTGTGCCATGTTATTACTTTCTTTCTTATTCGAAAGTCCTATAGCCGTTTTTAATACTTCTTCCCATTTTTCTGATTTCATTACTGGTATACAAACAATTGGTTTAATGTTTGTCGGAGGATTTTTGGCATTTTGTATGACAATTGCAGAATTTGCATTAATTAAGAACACAAGTACCGTCACTTTATCTGTAGCTGGAATTAGTAAAGAAGTAGTGATTATTTCTTTATCCGTATTTATAGATAATGATAAATTAACTCCACTTAATTTATTTGGGTAATTATTATTATTATTATTATTATTATTATCTTTATTAATATTATTTTATCTTTTATTGCTGTGATTAATTTTAATAATATTAATTTTACATCTTCTTTATTATTATTATTATTATTATTATTATTATTATTTAGTCTTTTTGTTTCAATATCAGGTATTGCTGGATACAATTATTATAAGATTACAAAAGGAAATGATAAAGGAAATATCAAAAATTATCAATATTCAAAAGTGAGCCATTAGATTTGAGGAGTCAATACGAATGATATGAAAGGAAATATCAGCCATTATTAATACAATCAATACATGAAAGTAAACCATTAATTAGATTGATCTCTTTCACACTCACACACAACTGTACATAATAATTTATTTATGTTCATTGATTATAATTAATTTATTATAGAATTAGATTATATAATACATATATTATATATATATTATATATCAACTCTTAGGACTTTAATCTATGCAAACTATAAATAATTCTTTTTTCTAATTACTCAACAAATAATTCCTGTAAAGAATATAATAATAATTAAAATAAAAAATGTTGTTTGATATTAAATCATATATTGATTCTTGGAACCTTTTTTTTTTATCTCTCTCCACCCTTTTTCACCCTTTTTCACCCTTTTCATTCATGATCTAAATAATTCTTTTTTTTTTGATTACTCAACAAATAATCTTGTAAGGATTCAACACCAATAATAATAATGACACTTTATAAAAAATAAAAAATGAAATTTTTATCATGGAAAATTCTAATTTACAAATAATTCAAAATGTTGGATTTTATGGTTTCATGTAGAGCTCCGAGTGGGTTGACTCGTTAACTCGCATATAATAAAATACTATTATAAAAACATAATGGGTTGTAACCCATATATTAAATTTCATATAAAATTCTGATTCGTTTGATTCGGAAGGTCAATTCGTTAGAAGCACTAGTTTCATGTATCTTAAGAGAGATGAATTAAACTAATTGATAACATTTATTAAAATTTCGTAACAACTTTAATTATATTAATGTATTCAAAACTTTATAATGTTAGTTTATTACGAATTCAATAAATGTATTGGTGTATTGTATATTACCACAATTATTCAATTATTTAAAACTTACAATTACCATTGTTACTTTGATAATAATTAGTTGATAAGTCCTAATTCCCATAGTTCATCTTGAATAATCTTTTCTGGATTTTCATCATCATACCAAATATTAAAGAGATATATATCATTTTTATCACATAATTCTTTTTTTTTCAATTGATCTCGTTCTAATTGTTTCTCCTATATGAAAGAATTCAATTTATTTTTCATGCTGTTGACCTTGCACTACGATTACAAAACCATAATGATAATAAGGAATATCAAGTTGTAATCCTGTTGGATTACTCTAATATTTTCAGAAAATCATATTTGCAATTTTTTGATGATGTGGTCCAAGATATTTTGATACAATCTCTCGACATAAATTTTCTCTTTTATATTTTAAACAGTAAGGACACCATGTATCATCATTTTTTATATGGCATACCATTAATGATTTTTATCACATTTCCAGAGTAACTTACTTTTAGCATCATAAAAATCTGTTAAGCATTCTCCACCTGCGATAAATTTAGCTATTGAAATATCAAGTTTTCTACCGGAATAATATGGGCACCAAGAATTATCATTTTTAATTGAAGTGAGAGGTGCATCCTATTTATGTGATTTGGAGCATCTCCAACGTAACTGGATTTTATTATTAATATATATATTAGATAAACATTACTATCTGTTAATTTTTCTGCATATTCAACACCAAGTTTTTTAGATTCATGTACATTATATGGACATCAACTTTTTTTAACTTTTAATACGGTTAAAACATACTTCCCAGATATGTTCATATTGACATATCCAAATTAATGGTGTATAATTATTAATATATCGGTCTGATAAACATTTTCCATTTTTCTTATATGCAATTTTTTTAACATCTTCAATAATATATTTAAAATTACCCGAGAAGTCCGGGCACCATCTTCCTTGAATAATATTTGAAGAAGATGCTATTCATCTATTGTTCTTTTTACTTTGCCATTCTAAATATATACGATCATAATTCTGGTGAGATTTGTGGAAAAGCATGTGCAAGACCTGAAGGATGTCATATTCATTGGAAAGTAAAAAGATGAGCTCCTTGTTCCGAATGTGGTAAACCTACTGGTTCTATTTCTGGCCGATGTCCTTTACATACAAGAGGGTTTTATGTAATGCAACATTACCACAGACTGCGCCAGAAAGCTTTTTGCAAAGGAAAGTTTGATATAATATAATTGATACCTGTTAATAAAAAATTGATCCATAGGATAATGAATTTACTAGTATCTTATATTATATATTATAGATGTTTACAGAAATTGTTTACTAGTTATTTTATAACATCAGCACTTCGTATCTTATACTGTAAATCATCTAGGAATAACTTTTTATAATTAAAAAAATAAGACCAACATGATTCAAATTACAAAAAAAAAATTGCATTAGGGTTCATCTCATACGCGTAGAACAAAATTTGTTATATTTTTGTTAATTACTGAATTAAAAATTTATAAAAAATTACGTTTCAAACAAAAATGAAACATTAAAGAAATATTTTAAAAAAAAATAATGGCAAAAAAAACAAAAATGCTAGACAAACTTCATTGGAAATACGTTTTTCTTTATCTAAATTTGTAATACATTTGGTAATGCAAATAAATATAATAAAATAATTCTAATAAAATTAATTGACAGTTGGTAAATGAAAATATCATGAACTAAGTCTTTTTCGGGTAAGATCAATATTAAGATAATGATAGACGGGTTTTAACTCCTTATATAATTTTATAAAGCTTTACCAAAATCGAAATAATTTCTAATAAGTCGTTCTCTCATTTTTAGATTCGATACGGTCAATCTTATTGGAGTTACCAGTATTTGAATTCGTTTCTTCCAAAACTTCACTAATATCCGAATAAGACTTTTTAACATGGACGATTCGTCAGTCTTCTGTTTTTTATTAGAGGGTTTATCTATGGAAATAGTACGTTTGAACAAAAAGTTACTTGTAGTTGAGTTAGATTTTGATTATTATTAGATGAAATGATGAATCAGTTGTTTTTTATTAAGAATTATTTTTGAATGATATTATCTTGGGATAAAAAGATGGTAGTTCCGATACTTCAACCTCCTACAACTCTAATCAAAAGATTTAGAACAATTATTAATAAGATAAATTTCTATACTATTTATGATACTTTTTTTTAAGACAAGCGCGATGAAATATATGATTGCATTATAGAGTTGTAAATGGCTTTTTTATTAAACTTAAAAATAATTCTTCATTATGATTAATGGCACATTTACGGGAAATGTAGCTTTGTATGGGATTTAATAAAAATTTAATTTCGGTGACTATTTCCGATGATCATTTATTCCTATAATGAAGTTCATTCCAATTGAATTAATTTTTTCTCTCTATAATGAATCAAGGCAGAAAAAAAATATATAAGAACAAAGTGAACTGTATGTGACTTAAAAATCATATGTATAACTAAATTTTTTATATACTTCTAATTCATTGAATATTTCAATAAATATAAAAATCCAATTTTTTAGTTGATAAATTTTTGTTAAATTGTTAGTTTTCTGATAAAAATTCTATCTTATTTATCTTATTCATATCTTTGATTATTTTTATAAAATAAATATGAAAAAAACCTATGTTTACTTTATACTATACCTATTATCATTTTTTAACTCGGTATATTCTCTTCCTAAACGACAAGAACCAATCGGTGCCATTGGAGGTTCAGTTACATTATCTATTGAAGGGAGATTTACATGCACATCTGGTTTTCCAGTAAAAGGAGGAGATCTGGGAGATACTGATACAGGTCTGTTACTTGCTGGTCATTGCACCGCAAATAATGCCGTAGGAGATCAAGTTTTTGTGGAAAATAACGATGGATCACTAGGTTCACTAATAGGAAGAATTTTTAAGGTTTCATATGGAAATGGTAACGATTTTGCTCTTATAAAACTGGATCAAGGATGGTTTGGTTACCCTACTCTTATAGGGCCAGGAAAAGATGGTCAACCTGCAATACTTCCAATAATAACAGCTACTTCCCCTGAGGAAGGTTCCCAAGTATGTTTAACTGGAGCCACAAGTAGCAGTGTGTGTGGAGTACTTATAGAGGCTGATGGGGAGGGAAGTATGTATGTGCTGAATAAATGGAATAATTCTGAGTTTATACTTTTAGAAGGTCTAAACGTAATAGACACAGGAAAATCACGTACAACTTTTGGAGATAGTGGTGCAGGTGTTTTTGTAACTAAAAGAGCTCCCGTTGGCTCCGCTATACTTGCAAGTCCAGTTGGCATATATGTAGGTTTCGTTAATGATGTTGTTGAACATAAAGAGTCTTACTACTATCCGATATCTACCGTTCTGGAAGCGTTTGGTGGATTGGAATTGATAACACAAAAAATCTTATAAAATATTGTATCCTCTCAAGCATAATATCCCCCTCCTTTTTTTAGTAAAAGATCCGAGTATAATATATGAACAATCAACACGTGTTGAAAAGTAATTACCTAGAAATCAATATTTACAATTCCATCTTGTATACATTTAATTTTTTTGAAATAGTCTTTTCTAAAGAAATAATTTGATTTGATGAAAATATTAAAGCCAGAAACCTAGATTATTGAATTATTTAAAGATATTTTTTTATTTTAAAATGGGAATTAAAAATTTTTTATTGTTCCATTATTTTTATTATTATTATTATTATAATAAATAATAATAATTCAAAAACATCAAAAATTTTTATTTAACTTTTATTTTTTTTTTATTCAATTCTTTAATAAAGAATATATAATAATAAGAATAATTTATTTTACATATCTTTATATCATTATGTACTTTTGATGAAATTTATACGAAGATACATAAAAACACATAAGATATTTTCATGTAAAGTGACTAAAATGATACAAAATTTGTTCAAGATAAATAATTGATTAAAGAATACTAAAAATTGAAAAAAAAATATTTCATATCCTTAATAAATTCCTTATTCATAAAAAATAAATAAATAAGATTATACTGTAAAACTATAGTTATAATGAATTATCACTTAAAATTTCTTTAACAAATACTTTTTATTAAATCATTAACGATATTATTCTATATATGCTGCACCCTATACGTCCATATCCTCCATCATCCACACCAAATTACCAAATTAATCCAAAATTAAACCCCAAAAAAAATTTTGTTGAATATATACAAAAAAAAAAATTATTTGCAAAATGAGAAAAGAAATGGATATAATAGAAAAAAAGTTAAATTATAATCTTCAATGTTGTTTCACATGAGTTTTCTGATGTCGTGTAACTTGATCTGGTCTCGAGAACTTTTTGTTACAAGTTCCAATTGGACATTTAAATGGACGTTCACCAGTATGAACACGCATCTTTAAAATAATTATGAAAGAAATATCAAAATTAATATAAATCTAATATATCTCACATTTTGAAAAGAAATATATAAATTTAATAATTTACATGTTTGGTCAAATTTGATGATTCCGCAAAACGTTTAATACACCCTTCAAATTTACATTTAAATGGTTTTTCACCTATTTCAAAATTTAAATTATTATTATTATTATTATTATTAACAATTTTTTTAAAGTATTTCTTCTAAATAGATATTTTCATGCGCAGAAAAAGTAAATTTTACCTGTATGCACTCGTAAATGTATGGTAAGTGCTCCAGAAATTGAAAAAGTTTTATCACATTCAGGTTGCGGACATTTAAATGGTTTTTCCCCAGTATGAGTTCTCATATGTTGGGTCATTATATTAGCTTCTGAAAATCGCTTTTTACAAATAGTACATTGATATGGTTTATCACCTACAAAAAATATAAAAATTTTTTTTAATGATGATGAAAAAAAAAAATTCAAGTAAATAATTATTTTTTATTTTTTATTTTTTTTTTACCTGTGTGAGTTTGTATATGCCTCATGACTTTTTGACGTTGTGTGAATGGACGTCCTTCTCGATCACATCTTTCCCAATAACATATATACTGACTTCTACCACCTCCGATATGACCTTCACTAAGATGCCCAGTTAATTCTTCAAATGTTTGAAATCTTAAATAACATCCTTGCCATTTACAACTATGATCTCGAGTCCTCAAATGATCTAAGCACAAATGTTCTATTAATTCGTCACTACCTTCCTCTTCTTTGGTACATGAATCCCATCGACATAAATTTCCTTTACTACGACCTGCCACATGTAATTTCGAAAGATGAGGTATTAATTCATCAATAGATCTGAATACCGCGGCACAGGTAGCCCAAAGGCATCGTGCTTCATCTAATATTTCATCATGATTTCTTTTAGATCCTGATACAGAAACCATCATCATATCTGTTGTTGATGATGATAATGATGATGATGATGTGACTGCTGTTGATGATGATGATGATAATGGTGATGATGTTGTTGTTTTTGATGATGATATTGATGATATTGTTGATGATGGAGGTATTGATGTTACTTCCATTTCAGGTGAAGAATTTCCAATCACATTCTCAAAAATGAAATGAAAACTTCTCCGTGATGAAATATCATGAACATCATGCGTTGATGAGTTGTTGTTGTTGTTGTTACTAATAATAACAGGACTCTGAAAAAAAAATTTTTATCATAAAAATAATCATTAAATCAAAAAAAAATCCCCTAAAAAAAGTCAAACATACAAACAAACAAACAAATAATATATTATTTACTTGTATTTCGAGACTCATCATATTATTCATATTCTCACCATTTGTATCAATAGATGGTGATCTGGGCTCAGAAGATTCTCGAACTGAAGTTGAAAGAGAATTTGATGATTCAATTTGAAACTCTTGTACTAATTTATAAAATTGTGGTGAAGTCATTGAATGATGTTCCGGAACATTCTCAGAAGTTCTTTGATTTAATGGAGTTGTAGGAGAGTTTGATAATTCTCCATGATTATCGGAAAAATTAATTTGTAACTCTTGCATTACTTTATAAAGTTGTGGTGATGATGTTATAGAATTACGTTCTGATACATTCTCAACATTTGTTTCAATTGGTGATTGAATACAATTTGAAATAGAATTTGGTGAATCAATATGTAGCTCATGAATTATTTTATAAAGTTGTGGTGACGTTATTGAATGTTGTCGTTCTGGTACATTCTCAACACCTATATCATCAGGTAATGATTCCGTTTCAGAAGTTGTTGAAGATGATGAATTGTTTTGTAACTCTTGCATTACTTTATAAAGTTGTGGTGAAGTGATTGAACATCGCTCTGGAACATTCTCAACATTTGTATCGATGGGTGGTTGAAGAAAACTTGCAATAGAATTCGATGAATCACTTTGTAATTCTTGCATCACTTTATAAAGTTGTGGGGATGTTATTGAATGACGTTCTGATTGATTTCGAAAATTTTCATGAGGTGGATGTAATGAAGATGGTTGATAGGAAATATATGAACCATCAGAAAATGATCCATCATGAAATTCGAATTGTGCGTCATGACTTGAAGATAAATCCGTTATTTCTTCCAACATGCGATTATTATTATTATTATTATTATTGTTATTATTATTATTATTATTATTATTGTTATTGTTGTTGTTGTTGTTGTTGTTATTGTTGTTATTGTTGTTGTTGTTGTTGTTGTTGTTGTTGGTATCGTTATTAGTATTTGATTCTACCGTTTGTTCCGATGCCGCCGCTTCTCGAATCGATGTGGCAGCAGCTTCTGCCGCCGCAACAGGACAACATTCAGTACAACATTCTCCTGCAACTATTGTCTGGGTAATTTTTGGTTGCTGTGCAGTAAATTCGGGTGATGGTGATGTCGGTCTATTCGATATGGTGGCGAACTTTTGATTTTGTATAGGATTTGAAATCTGTGAGGAATCCATAAATGAACTCGTTATATTGGAAATTTTTCCACGATCAAAATCCGCTTGTACAGGTAGAAACATTGAATTATAACCTCCTGAAGGTAATATGCTACCACCACTACTACCACCACTATTATCTACAAAGTTTTCGCAGTTTGAACCTTTTTCACCATTATCAATTTTTTCACATTTTTTACAAGTTTCACAGGTTTCACAGATTTCACTTGATGGTGGTATTTGTCCAGTGTCAATAATGTCTTTGCTAGAACCCTAGTGCGATGATAAGAATAACTTAAATTTATTTGGTGTATAATTGAAATGGTCATTATTTGAATATTCCGATATATTTCGATATGATAAATACCTACCTTCATGAGCTCCGTGAATAGAGACAGTAACAAAATTTTATATGAGATCTACTTTCAAAAAAAATATGAGGTTATTTTTTTTTATTTTTGGACTTTTTTTTGAATTTTTTAGAACCAATTTATTAATCACGTGTCACCATTCAAATAAATTTAAAATTAAAATTAAAATTGAATTTTTTTAAACCACGGAGCCTCGCTCCAAGATGTTTATCAAATTATTAAATAAAATTAAGTAAAATTGATTAATTGAACTTTTTTATTAAACCTTTAAAGTGTACAAAAAAAACAAGATGGAGTACTATCCTCAACGAGTAGGAGGTTTATTTGAGAACGAAATGGAACATAATGTACGCATAAAGAAATTATTTGACGAACTCGATTATGATAAGAAGGGAGTCTTAACTCGAGAGAACATTCAAAAAGGTCTTAAACGATTGGGAAACCATCCATCTCGAAATAAGTATGCAGCAGAACTTTTACAAAAAATTGATACAACTTCAGATGGAGTAATAGATCTTAAAGAATTTAAGGCTTTTGTGGAAGAAAAAGAAAAGGAATTATGGAAATTATTTATAGAAATTGATAATTCTCATGATATGAGGTTACAACCCGAAGAATTAGAAATTGCCTTAAAAAAATCTGGTAAATCCCAAAATTCAATTCTGAAATGCAATAAAATAAAATAAATCACAATTTTTGATATGAAAATAATTGGAATATATTGAATATTATTAGGAATTAATTGTACAAAACCGGAAATAAAAAAATTCATAAAGACAATAGATAAGGATGGTAATGGAGTAATAGATTTTGCAGAATGGAGAGATTTTTTACTGGTAAATTGAACGAATTTATGGTATTTTAATTTTTTATTTCTCGTGATTTTCAGATTTTGAAAACGATTGCAATCTCTTATTTATATTATTATGATAATAATAGTTTCTTCCTCGAGATATAACAATTTTTGAAATATTTGAATATTCCAAAATGCTTGCTCAAGTAAGTATTGATGGAGAAGTTACTATACCACCAACTGATCTAAAATATCTTGCAGCTGGAGCAATTGCTGGAGCGATTAGTCGAACAGCTACTGCACCCTTAGATCGTCTTAAGGTATATTTACAAACTCAAACAGACATTGTAGCTCCAACAACAACAACAACATCATCATCATCATTATCTTCAACATCATCTCGAAGTATCAAATCAAAACATTTATCTAGTGTAGGTTTAACAAATTTATCAATCGTCTTTAAAAGATTATATAATGGAGGAATTTTGAACTTTTTTCGTGGTAATGGGCTTAATGTTGCTAAAATTGCACCAGAAAGTGCAATTAAATTTTTTGCTTATGAAAAATCCAAAGCTATAGTTGCCCAATTAATGAAAACTGATGATATTGGATCAATAGGAATGTCAGGAAGATTTTTATCAGGAGGATTAGGAGGAGTTGTATCACAATTTGCTATTTATCCTTTAGAAACCTGGAAAACTCGTGTTATGAGTTCGGCAGGAGTTGTATCTCCTACAATAACAAAAACAACAACTACTAATAAAATGAAAATAACAACAACAACAACAACAACAATATCACCAGAAGGAAGCATTTTATTAAACACTGCAAAAGAAATGTGGAGAACACAAGGTTTTAAATCATTTTATAAAGGATTAGTACCGTCATTAGTGGGAGTATTTCCTTATGCAGCGGTGGATATGAGTGTTTATGAAACATTAAAATTATCATATATAAAAAGGAAGGCAATTCGATCGGGAGGAAGAGAAATTGAACATCCAAGCTCTTGGGTATCATTAGGTTGTGGTATGATTTCTGGTTCTATTGGTGCATCTATAGTTTATCCTTTATCTCTTGTTCGAACGCGGTATGTATATATGAATATTTTTATTTTATTATTATTTAATTTCTCTTTTGTTTTTTTTTTTTTTTTTAATTAATTTATTTATTACTATTATATATAAGATTACAAGCACAAGGAACACCAGGTCATCCACAAAGATATACTGGTGCAATTGATGTAATTCGTAAAACTTATACTAATGAGGGAATACGTGGTTTTTATAAAGGATTAATACCAGCATTATCAAAGGTAATATTACGATATAAAAATTGAAATTTTATTAGTATTTTGTTTGTTTGTTATTAATAATGAAAATGTTTCTTCTCATTTTATTAATTAATTAGGTGATACCAGCTGCAGCAATTACATATGTGGTTTATGAAAAGAGTAAAACTATATTGGCTCTTAAATAAAGGTAAAATGAAATTAATAGTAAATTAATTACTATAATGGAGCATTCGTGTGAGGTTATGCGTAATTGATCATGTGCCAATCAGATTGTGATATGTCACGTAAAAATTTTCTGTGACTATCGGATGTCTAATATTCTGATAAGGATAAGCATTTTAGTTGAGAACATTGTTGATTTCTCGAGTTTTCCATACAAGAGTACTCAAGCTGATTGTAAAGCACGAAAGTGGGAGAAAGAACACGTCATAAGCAAATTTTTAACCAACCAGCATTTATGGGACTGTTTATGATTAACTTTTTTATATTCGTTTATTCGTAAAACTTATGCATTAACAAGTGAAGTAAAAAGCGTTTTGAATGAAAATCATCGGGTTTGTTTTTAGCCATTGGAATGGTGCTTATTATTTATTCTCTCGATGGTTGTCAAAGAAAATTCGAAGTAATATAAGTAATTGTATTGTTAGAATGTCATATATACATGGTAACAATCGTACTATTTTTATTTGTATTAATAAAGTGAACAGACCAAAAGGTCATTCTTTTTCAATAATTAATTGATTTTAATTTTAACGCGTGTTTATTAATTATTCAATAATTAATTGACCTTTTGAAATAATTTTCGTTTTGAAAATAATTATTTTAATTTCACATCAATTCTTTTAAAAAAAAAAAAATAAGATCATAGTCAATATCTTAAACTCAAAAATCAAAAAAAAAAATCTATTTTCGAAAAGTTTTCTAGAATGGTTGATTGGAAGATTTCGTCAGCATTTATACCTCCTATTCTTATAATAAGCAATTTGATAATATTGTTGATAAAAATACCTACTGTGATACAGATCTCTCAAAATTATTAATGTGAAAAAAAAAAATCGATCTAGAATCAACATATCTATAACCACGTTTGTTTGTTTTTTTAAGATGGAATTCAAAGACTTAGATCCTAGATTAACACGCGCATTATCAAAGCTTAAATTCCATAAACCAACATTAGTGCAAGCTGAAGTGATTCCTTTGGCACTCGCGAGAAAGGATATATTAGCAAGAGCACGAACTGGAAGTGGAAAAACGGCTGCATACTGTTTGCCTGTGATTCAAAACATTTTAATTTCTAAAGAGGCAAGTTGATTTTCTTTTTTTCTTTGAATTTCACCTTTGAAAATTTTTGATTCACACACACAAAAAAAAAAAAATTAGGCGATAAAAGAATCACCGGAAAATGCGATTCGTTCAATTATTCTTGTTCCAACGCGTGAATTAGCTGAACAAGTCACTCAACACATAAAATGCTTCATAATATATTGTTCAAAAGAAATTAAAGTGGTTAACATAGCGAGTTCGGCTCCGGTAGAATTACAAAGGTAAATTGATTTTCAATTGATTTTTTTTATTATTGATTTTTTTTTATTAATGTTCTATGAATCTTCATCAGACCAATCTTATCAGAATTACCTGATATCATAGTATCAACACCTAGTCGATTATTGGCTAGTTTCGAGGCTCAAGTTTGTTTCATTTTTAAAATCATCGTTTCAAAAATAATAATATTTCAAAATTCAATAGTTAGAAAAAAATTATTCTTTTTCTTTTTTATTAGAATCTTGATGTTCGAAATACTCTTGAATCTTTTGTAATCGATGAAGCGGATCTTGTGCTTTCATATGGTTACGAGGAGGATATACAAAAGATCATAACTTATTTACCTAAAATATTTCAATGTTATATGATGAGTGCAACCTTAAGTCAGGTATGAATATAGATTATATAAATATAAATTATATATATATATATATTTTTAACTTTTTCGACCTGATATAATTGATATTTTATTTAATTTCTCATTTCAAAAATTGATAGGACGTAGAAAAATTGAAACATTTGTTTTTGCGGAATCCAGTACGTCGACTATTATTATTACTATTATTATATTATTATTATTAAGAATCATAATAATCATAGTTTTATAATTTCAGGCAATTCTGACATTACATGAAAATAATGATGAAATCAAACAACTTACACAATATTGTGTTCGGTAAATAAATATCTCTCGCTTTTTTTTTCAAAAAAAAAAATTTGCTAATATTTTATTTATTTTTATTTTTTGGGACAATATACATATATATTATATAGTTGTTCAGAAGCAGATAAATTTTTATTAACCTACGTTATCTTGAAATTACGTTTAATCAAAGGGAAATGTATCATGTTTGTGAATGATATTGATCGATGTTATCGTCTCAAATTATTTTTGGATCAATTCTCGATAAGATCTTGTGTCTTGAATTCGGAATTACCTTTAAATTCTAGGTATGTATGAATAATTAAATTATTCCTGATTCTTGAGAAATTATTAGTCCGGAGTTTTAAGAATAAATTTTTTATATATAAAGATATCATATAGTACAAGAATTCAACAAAGGGATTTATGATTATATTGTAGCGACAGATGAGGGCGATTATAATTCTAATCGGGATTCTGAAGATGAAGATGAAGATGAAAGGAAAACTGGTAGGCTGCATATACTGTACATATATTATACTATTCTATATTATTTTATAATCTCATAATGTCATTCTCATTAAAATTAAATCAATATATATATATATATATATATATATATATATATATATTAATTTCTAGATAATATACAAGAAGAGGATGATGATGAAGAAGAAGGAGAAAATGATGATGACTACGATGACGATGGCGATGGCGATGATGAAAAAGGAGAAGATTTAATTGATGATGATGAGAAAAAGGATACATCATCAAAGGTTAAATTTATTCTTCCCAAGAAAAATCATAATAAAAAGAAAAAGGATAATAATCAAGAAGAGAGAAAAAAGAAAAATTCAGATAAACAAAAGAAAGATGATGATAATAATAATAACAAAAAGGAATACGGGGTATCTCGTGGAATTGATTTCATTAATGTATCAGCAGTCATTAATTTCGATTTTCCGATATCAGCCAAAGCATATACTCATAGAATAGGTCGAACAGCTCGAGCTAATAACAAGGGAATGAGTTTAAGTTTTATAGTTCCAAAAGAATTAGTAGGGAAACAAAAAAATTTAACCAGTCCAACTTCCAAAAATGATGAGGAGATCTATGCCCGAGTAGAAAAACAACAAACGATGATGGGAGCCACCTTAAAACCTTATTCATTTGATATGAAACAAGTAGAAGGATTTAGATATCGAATGGAAGATGCGTTAAGAGCTGTAACTCGATCTTCCATCAAGGAAGCACGATTGAAAGATGTTAAATCGGAGATTTTGAATTCAGAAAAATTAAAGGTAATAAAACAATTAATTAATTATGAATTAACTATATATAATATATATATATATATAATTTTATCAACTTTTATTAATCATAATTATCTTTAATTAATTAACTTTTAGAATCATTTTGAAGGTAATCCGAATGACCTAAAAATATTACGACATGATGCAACCATTCATCCGTCAAGAGTTCAACAACACATGAAGAACGTACCTCCATACCTAATGCCAAAAATTGCCACCCCCGCTGGATCATCTTCCTTGATAGATGATGATGGGGTTGGAAATGTTCCATTTCGTAAATCTAAAAAGAATAATAAACATCATCGTAATTTTGGTTCTAGTTTTGGTTTGAAGGTAAAAATAATAATAATTGAATATTTTGTATTCTTTGTATTCCACGTATTTCTACATAATTGTTATTCGATGTATTCTAATTTCTATTTTATAATTTTGTTTTTTAATAGAAACGTAAAAATGACCCACTAAAATCTTTTAGTTTTAGTGGTAAAAATAACAAACGCCAGGTAATTATATTTATTATATTTATTATATTTATTATATTTATTACATTTTATTATTATTATGATCATTTAACATTTATTGATTCAATTATTATTTTTTTTTATATAGAAAAAAAATTAGAATCAAATATTGTATAAATTAACATCATATAATCTATTATCATAGGTAAGTTTTTTTTTATAGGGTTTCAGTTATATAGTAAAAAAAAATGTTATATATTATAATTTACAAAATAATAATAAAATAAAAATTAGATTTATTATTATTCTTTTTTTTATTTAAAAATTAAATAGATATAAAAAAAAAAATCTATACGTATATATAAATAAATAAATAAATAAAAATAACTGATAAGATTTATTAGATTTATTTATTTCGATTTTATATTTTTGGGAGGAACGTATGAAAATACGCGTGATGAGTGAGAAGATGAAGATTGCGAAGAAGAAGAAAGATGAATTGAATCTTGATGAGACATTAATTCGGAATCCGCAAAGTTTACACTGATTTTATCAATCAATCAATCAAATAATAATTAATCATAATTAATAAATAGTTCAAATAATAATTGACAAATAATAAGAATAATCAAAAATAATAAAGAATAATAAAGAATATAATATAATATTATAAGTACCCAGAATTATAAGGACCTCTTCTTTCATTACTATTTATGTCACATGAATTAGAAGTTACCCAGGAAGATTTATTGATGGAACCACCCGGACCAATTTTTTTATCACGAGTTTTACCCAATTTCCATAACCTTTGAGCCACGTATAAGCCATATACCGGAAACATTACGGACATAACAACCCGAGAAGTTTTCTTCCATTTTCGAGAAGGATCATCGGAAGTGTAAGGTTCGTTAAACTTTTTGTGCCATAGTAATGCAGTTTTTGCTAAATTATCGGCCTAAATTTATAAATAATAATTATTATTGTTACGATATTATTATTATTATTATTATTATTATTATAATAGATAATTGATATTTAAATTTTTTTTTTTTTTTTACCATTTTAGATTCACTAAGTGAATTCTCATAATTCCAAATTTTACCAATTAATTCAATTGTGTATGAATAATATCTTGATGGCCATAACGTATGAGTATACCAACATAATAATATATCTAATAATTAATGATTAATATGAATAATTAATAATCATAACAATTAATAATAATAATAATTGATAATAATAATAATTAATAATAATAATTAATAATAATAATAATAATTATAATAATTAATAAATAATAATAATAAATAATGAATAATTATATAATTTACCCATAGTAGGAACCAAAAGTCGGTCCGGATATTTTTGAGTTAATATTAAAAATTTATGATATCTGACAGTTGCCAAAGCAATAATACATTCATCATTCCAATCACCCGCATATAAGATTTTATCAACAGTTTCTTGATACCTAATCACCGCGGCCATTAGATCCAATGAAAATGGGCATATCAAATTTTGATAAGCGGATATAACTTGATTCAAAATATTTTTTCGAACGTAACGTAAATCTCCTTGGGAATCAAGTTGATGTAAAATCGTGGAAAATTCTTGTTGAATTATTTGCCAATTACAATTATTGGTAATATTTGGAATGTATAATGAGGGTGGTGATGGTTTTCCACTAAATAATTGATAATAATAATTGATAATAACATTGATAATAATAATTGATAATAATAATTGATAATTAATATAAGAAATAATTAATAAATTGATAATTAATAATTGATATTAATAATAATTAATAATTAATATAATACATTACGTATATGCGTAAGAAGATAATCGAATAAGTTCACGTATAACATCTTGATCAAATAAAAGAATATTATCATTGACAGCTATATAATTATCAATTTGATTTTTCTCTGTATCCAACAACGTTCCTCTATATTTATTATTATTATTATTATTATTATTAAAATAATAATAATAAATCAATAAATGACAATAAATAATAATAATAATGATAATGATGATAATAAATATTATAACACGTACGCGAGACATTTAGTATTGTCAGATAGAAATTGATTAATATCGTTTAATAATCGTTTTGCGGATAAAATATCAGCATTTAATTGTAATGAACAATTCTCACAAGTATGTGTTGATGCATTCATTTTTAATTGTACATATAAATCTATTAATATAATTAAAAATATAATTAAAAATATAATTAAAAATATAATTAAAAATATAATTAAAAATATAATTAAAAATATAATTAAATATAATTAAATATATAACATATAATAATCATTTATATAATAGTAATTAATAATAGCATATAAATAGTTAATGATTTCATATAATAATTAATAATTAAAAATTAAGAAATGATCTTTACCTGGATCAAGATAATTATCTTTAATACAAAATGGACAAGTAATTAAGAAAGGTCGATCATCATCAAATTCTAAGAGATATGGTTCATCATCAGAAAATGATTTCCACGTTTTAAGAGAATTCATATCAACATATTCATCTCCCTCTTTATCTTTCATATTCTATAATTAATTAATTAAATTAAATTAAAATTAAATTAAATTAAATTATATTATATTATATTTCACCATTGGAATTTAATTAATTAAATTAATTAAATCAATTATATATCTATTCTATATATTTTTTCAAAGCATTTTAGAAAATAGAGAAGAATACCATTTTTAATAAAGGGAAATTATAAGTCAACATATGTTCTCCATATAATCTAATTACATCTTCTTGATATGCGAGAAGATTTGTAGCGTGTGCACACCAGAATAATGCGACATCTATTATTATCAAGTTAAGTTATTATTATTATTATAATTAAGTAAGTTTATTATTAAAAATTATTAACAATTTAATTAATGTAATCACATGATAATAATACCTAAAGGAGGGATAGGCATTGATTCTATTGGTGGACGATAATGATCCAATAAATTCAACCAAATGATATATCGATGTTCGGCTCGAGCCAAATATCGTAAAAATAAATTTTGATTATTACAATTTATATTGGTAAATCGAATTAGAAGATTTAAATGTGCTGTTACTATTATATATCGAAGAGAAAGATATATATATATAGAAAGGTAAGAGATATAGATATCAAGGATAATCAATAATAAAAATTAAATAATTTAAATAATTTCCAAAAATAATAATTATAATAATAATAATAATAATAATTAATAATTTCCAAATTTACATACATGTTTCCACGGAAATTACCTGATCAGTTATAATTGAATTTGATACTTCAGGACATTGTTCTGAAATTTTTAAATAATTATTTGGATGATTTTTTTTACTACTGATTTTTTGATTATAAGGTTGAGAATCCGAATTAAAACTTTCTTTTGATATTTTTGTCATCTTCGATTCTTGTGAATTTGAAAATCTTCTATGTGATGATGATGATGGTACTGATAAAGTATTATTATTATTATTTAAATTATTTGCCATTATGAAAATTTATAAAAATGTTTATAGTAAACTAAATCAAAATATAAACAAATAAGGATACAATGAAAAAATGCTTATCACTTTCACCACTTTTTTTTATACTATTTTTTTTTTTTCTTACAAAAGGAGAAAAAAAACCGTATTTAAAGTTTTGAAAGCGTTTTTTTGTGTGTGTGAAAGAGAAAAGGAAGTTAAAACTTTTTTTTTTAAAAAAAAAAAATAAATATGTACTGCTATATTAAATCTTATATAAAAACACACCACGCCACAAAAAAATACATTAAATAATTAAACTCGTAACAAATAAGAAACTTTTATTACAAGTAAGCTTATTTATTCATTGACGGATCATTGATAATTTAAAAATGTACATACATATATAGTTAGAATATATATTATTTAAAATCGCACGGATCACATGCTTAGAGTTTATATGTAACTCTAATATAATTTGATCGTCAGCGTGCACGGTGACTTAATTTGGTTTGCAAAAGTGAAATTTTACAATTATACCCTAAGTGTTTCGGTATATCCGAAGTCCGAGAAAAATTACCTTTTACATCATTCTACATCGTAAAAGGATTTTAAAGACTTTACAATAGATTTAGAAAATATAGTTATAGTTAGAATATAGCAGAATAAAAATCATGGAAATGTACCACAGACGAAACATTTCAATTCCATTAGACTTCTATATTAAGTTCTAATAATAGATAATCATTTTTTCAATCACTTCAATACAACATAAATATAAATATAATCTCTCGCATTTTCTTTTTTTTTCATCTTTAATAATTAAGTCTTTATCAAATATTATCAGATATATCAGATAAATATTTATACATTAAAGTTATGTCATCATCAATTTCAGTTGACGAACCAACTCAAAATGAATTAGCGAATTTAAGTGTCGCAATTCAAAAACTTTGGGATTTGGATCATAATAGATTGAAACCTGGTGAAGATGTAATGATCATTGATTATTGAATTATTGAATTATTGAATTATTGAATTATTGAATTATTGAATTATTGAATTATTGAATTATTAATTTATTGATTTTTTTTTTTTTATTTAATTTAATTAATTAATTAATTTCTTTATTTATATAATTTTAATTTTGATTATTTTTATAATTAGTATGCAATTAATTTGCCAATGCCCCAACAAAGTAAATATTGAATAATACCAATAAATACTAATAATATTAAATAATACTAATAACACTAATAAATAATATTTAATAAATGATATTAATAATACTAAAGAAATTATATTTACTAATAAAATTTAATAATCGTAATAATAATTTTATAATAATAATAATAATAATAATAATTAAAATTCAGGAGGAGAAAATGTGACAATTTCATTATTCCAATTTGTCTCCAAACAATCCTTTCAAATACCAACCATCAAATATTTCTGTGCCTTACTTGATAATTATATACCTCAAACCGGTATAGCAGAAAAGGTGGATAACTCCGAATTAAAAGAAAATTCTCAATTTATTAAGGAAGTTATGAAAACTGCTCCAATGAAGTACGCTTATAAGGTATTATTCATATTCTATCCGCGTATTCTATTTGTATTATACTTGAATTATTATTATTATTCTCCTTTATTTTTTATTATTTATTATCCATTATTTATTATTATTTATTTATTATTTATTATTTTTATTATTATTATTTTAGTATCTGGTAGCAAAAGGAAAAGTAAAAGCTAGTTACTATGAATTCGAGGCAAAACTTATTAAATTATGGTTTGATATGTACGCAAGGCAAGGACATTCTGGTGATTCAAGTGCATTTGAACATGTTTTCCTTGGTGAAGTTAGAGATGGCGAAGCCAAAGGTATATTTACATCATTATTATTAATATTACAAAATATTACATTATATATTTAATTATTATATTACAATACTAAATATTTCATGATATTATACATTAATACTTTATTATATTCATTTATTATTATTATTATTATTATTATTATTATTAAAATTTTAGCATTTCATAATTGGATTGCCATTTATTTCTATGAAAAAGCTGGTAAATTTGATTACAAGAGTTTCGTACCAATGAAAGAAGGAAATAGACGACTCATTACTGTAAGTATTTATCATTAAAAAAATAATTTAAATGTAATAATAATAATAATAATAATAATAATAATAATAATCATAATCATAATAATAATAATCATAATAATAATTAAATATAATATAATAGCCCGACGGAACCGAACACATAGTCTCCATCCGTTTCGCATTTCAAGGTTACGAAAAAACATTCTCGACTTCATTCATTGGTACATCTCCCGAATTCGAAATATCCCTTTACACTTTACTCTTTTTATTGGGTCGGGAAGATACTAGAGTCACTTTGGATGATATTAATATAAATCTTAAGCTTTACAATTTTTATGAAAGAAGTGATAGAGAGAAAAAGAATAGATTATTAGGTTCAGCTTTTCCTATGATTCTCGGACCTACTGCTTAATAATAATAATATTGTTATTTTATTTTATGTATTCTGTATGTTATTTTCTTCGTACAAATATATTTATATTTATTGAAACTTTTGAATTGATAGTAATTATTATTATTTTATTCTATTTTATATTTTATTTTATGTATTCTTTGTACAAATATATATTTCATTTATTGAAACTTGTGACTGTAATTACTGAAATCACTTTCTTAATGATCGCCAATTCACGCTTTTCATAATAACTGATGAAAAGGTAAAAAATTTTAGAATGATGATACAAAATGACTATGATTTTAATAAAATAAGTAAAAGGGAACCTGCAAGCAGGGCTCTCCATTTTTTACCGAGAGAGACACCTCGGATTCTCTAGATTATTGAGCCAATATGGTCACGTATTATTCATGTGATTTACTCACACATCATTTTTAGTGGCATATATTAATACAAATTTTATTAGTTATATTTTTTTAAATAAAATTATTATATTAAATTTTATTGGTATTTGTTTGATTAGTTCTTTTTTTATACTTATTCCATACATTTATTTTTTATATTATTACATCTACATACATATTCATTATTATTACATACATGCATCATTTTTACATTGTATCGTGTGTGTCATTGAAGAATTAAAAGAAAATCAATTTGTTGTGCGATACAATAAATCTATAATAAATTTTAATAAAATTCGTATCAATTTTTTTTTCTTTTCCTTCCTCTTCGCCATCATCGACATTAATGTTGATACCATCAACCACTATTAACATTCATATTCATATTGATATTACTAGTAATAGCAGCAGGAAATAAATCTCGAAATTTATCTTTTTCCGCTTCAATCATACGACAAACACTTTTAATAGATAATGTAGTCATTCCTAAAACATTCGAATTATCATCAATTGAAATTGGATTATTTAATATGGTGGTAACGAGAAGTATCACTGCTGCCGCTACAATATTCTGAGTTCGACTGGTTAATTATCTAAGTTGTTCAATCCTTTGACTAACGTACCCGTAACTTCCGGTGAAATCATAAGTCGATTACAGAAATCCTCTGGATGTCATCTTAAATCAAGTATTGATATATACCAAGATTTTAATCGCTCCTTTGGATACCCTATAATTTCTTTTAACGATATTCCCACGTTCATTATTCGACATGCGATATAAATACATGCGGCATAAAGCTTTGGTATAATTGTTTGGTTGTCTTAATGATCCCCGTGGATAAATCCATCGAATGACAAATTGATTCAATCATATTCATACTCACATTACTCTTGTTAATTGTGGCTTTAAAATATGTTCGACTTATGATGGTGGTGATGATGGTGAAAATTCATTATTTGTACTTCCTTGCCGTAAAATTTACTAAATGTACGCCTGGTATCAATAATTTTATCATCATATGCTAATCCACATTCTCCATATCTCCACTTACAAATTCTTCAATAAGTTTGAAATTGGGATTTTTACGATTCAGACAAATTAATTAACAGATTGAAATATCGGGAGTCCCATTATCCTAAGGTGAAGATGATTATTACAATTGCTATTGTAGTTGTTGTTGTGGACGTTTAGGAAAAGGAATACTGGGACTTGATGATGACAATTATAATATTTATTGAATTTATTATTTGCACTTTACAGTATTTATGATTTAGAAATAAATTAATATATTAATAAAATATTACAAATAAACATAAACCTTTTTTAATACCTGTAAAATATTTTTTGATGTAAACCTTCCACGAATTGATAATATATTATTGAACCTTCCTAGGTCTCTTTAAGAATTCAATTATATACTCATATTTTTTGTCGTTATTTCAAAGATATAATTTTATATTTTACTTAAAAAAAAGTAAAAGTACATCTCGTTCCCACGTGACCAGCCGTAATCTTTATATCATTATATTTTTTTTTCTTTCTTTTTTTTCAATTTCATTTATTTATTTTACAACCTTTTTTTTTACATTCTTTTTTATTTTCACCTTAATAAAGAAACTAAATACATACATATAACGAAGAGTGGAATCAATGATAAGTACTTTATAATGTATGCGTAATATACGAAGTGACATTAATTTGTATATATGAGGTTGTTATCTTGTATATTGCTTTCGATGCTCTCGTTAACTCGAGGACATGGAATGTAGTGATTAAGCGAAAGAAAATCATCCACGAATGTTCGATATGCATTTAATTATAATAATAATAATGGCAGTGAGTTTGTCAACTTGCTGCATAACAGATATAGATTACATCGTATACAGTTTTTTTAAATACCAATATAAATATATATTATTTCATAATTAAATACGGGAATAACGATATAATGAAATTATCCATTGTGTAAATTTGTTTTTATTATTATAAATAAATTATTATTATTCAACGATAATCCTTAATATGTATATAATATTGTTTTTCACTCCATCAAATCATATGATGAAAAATTTTAACAACAACAACATGTATTGAAAGTATCAAAAAATTAAAATTAAAGAAAAAATTAGATATTTATTTGTAGATATATACTGATGAACAAAATTGTATTTTAATTTTGAAAACTACGAAAATAGAAATTTTTTAAAAAAAGATAAAACATTTCTGCAAAAATCAAAATATAAAATATATCCTATAAAACGACGAAATTGAGTAGTAAATAATAAAAGTTAGAAAAAAATAATGATTAAACAAAATATGATACTTATCCATCACAATTGAATCCCGTAAACCTCCATTAACGATCGAATCTCGTGAATTCCAATTTATAATGTAATAGATTTTTTTTCCTGGTGGTCGATTTTGCAATGAAACATTAGTATTGTTATGAAAAATAATCGTTAGAAAAAAAAATAATAATAATGCATTAAACAAAATACGACACTTATCCTTCACAATCGAATCTCCTAAATCCACAAATCCCACCAATAATTACAATTTAAATTATTTTTTTCTAGTGGATTGCGGTAAAAAGAAAAATATGTATTATTAAACTAGAAAAAAAATGCATTAAAAAAACAATTTACTATATTTACCCGTCACAATTGAATCGCGCTCGTAAATCCAACCAATAAATCCCAATTTAAAAAAAAAATATCATTAATAATAATTTTTTTTTCCTAATGGATCGTAATGATATTATTTTAAAACATATTATTTTTTTTCCTGGAGGGTTGTAACGAGAAAATTGATATCATTAGTGATGTTATTTAATTATTTTTTTAAAGATAATTAAGTAATTTAAAAAAAAAAATGTTATTGTTATTATTGTTTTTTTTTTAAAAAAAAAAATAATAATTATATCCGGAAAAATCCAAGTCTTGAATCGGTGATCGCTCATCGTTTAAATTATCCGTAGCGGGTCGTATATGAAACTTATCCATTAACGATCGAATCTCGTGAATTCCAATTTAAAAACAATAGATTTTTTTTTCCTGGTGGTCGATTTTGCAATGAAACAATAGATATCATTAGTAATGTTATTAAAATGATCGTTAGAAAAAAAAATAATAATAATGCATTAAACGAAATACGATACTTATCCGTCACAATCGAATCTCCTAAATCCAAAAATCCCACCAATAAATTCCAATTTAAATTATTTTTTTCTAGTGAATTGCGGTAAAAAGAAACATATGTATTATAAAACTAGAAAAAAAAATGCATTAAAAAAAACCAATTTACTATATTTACCCGTCACAATTGAATCCCATAAAATCCCAACCAACCGATTTTAAAAATATAATATTTTTTTCCTAATAGATCATAATGAGTAAATTAATATCATTAGTGATGTTATTTAATTCTTTTTTTTTTAAAGACAAATTAATCGATTTAAAAAAAATGTTATTATTATTATTACTTTTTTTAAAAAAAATAATAAGAATTTAATATTATATCCGGAAAAATCCAAGTCTTGAATCGGTGATCGCTCGTCATTTAAATTATCCGTAGCGGGTCGTATATGAAACTTATCCATTAACGATCGAATCTCGTGAATTCCAATTTAAAAATGTAATGGATTTTTTTCCTGGTGGTCGGTTTTGCAATGAAACAATAGATATTAGTAATGTTATTAAAAATGATCTTTTAAAAAAAAATAATAATAATAATGCATTAAACGAAATTAGATACTTATCCGTCACAATCGAATCCCGCTCGTAAATCCCACCAACCCACCAATAAATCCCAATTTAAAAACATATCGTTAATAATTTTTTTTCCTAATGGATCGTAATGAGAAAATCGATATTATTAGTAACGATATTAAATAAGAGTTGGGAAACAGAGTACGTTAGAATTTTTAGATTAAACAAATTATGACATTTACCCATCACAATACAATCGAATTCCATCAATGAATCTCTCAAATCTCATCAAGAAATTTCGATTTAAAAATATTTTTTCCCTAATTGGATTGTAACGAAAAAATATAAATGCTATTAGTGATGTTTACAAATTATAATTCGAAAATTAAAATGTAATCATAATTGAATCCCAACCAACCAATGAATTCCGATTTTAAAAATATAATATTTTTTCCTAGTAGATCGTAATGAGAAAATCGATATCATTAGTGATGTTATTTAATTCTTTTTTTAAAGACAATTAAGCAATTTAAAAAAAAATGTTATTATTATTACTTTTTTTAAAAAAAATAATAAGAATTTAATATTATATCCGGAAAAATCCAAGTCTTGAATCGGTGATCGCTCGTCGTTTAAACTATCCGTAGCGGGTCGTTCATCGCTCGTCGTTTGAATTATTCGTAGCGGGTCGTAGGCCATCCATTGTAAATATTGAATTCTATACAAAAGAAATCATATTTAATTTAACAATTCGAATAATAATTAAAAATAATAATAATAAATAATATTAATTAACATACCAAATAAATTTGAATAATAACAGTAAAAATGAATAAAATATAATAATAATAATAAAAATATAATAATAATAATAATAAGGAGGATAACAACAACAACATTAAAAATTTTATGCATTTTTTTTGATTTTTTTTTTTTCTGATTTTTCAATTTTTTAAATTTTCAATTATTTAATCTTTTAATTTTCTTAATTCTTTAATATATTCTAAGCTAGGCGACAATTGATCCCCCAACAAATTTTTAGCCAATTTCTTAAAATCTTCATCTGATAATTCTTCAATTTCTCTTCACTTTTTTTTGATGATCCTGCTTGGGCTTCATAATCATCATCATTATGATTCCTCTTTCTCCCTTGCGGTTGTTGTTGAGTTGGTTGAGTTGGTTGTTGTTGCTGGGTTGATAGGACTGGTTGCTGTTGTTGGGTTGGTTGGGCTGGTTGTTGTTGTTGAGTTGGCAGGACATATTTTCTTGGTCGTCCTCGGCCACGTTTTTGAGGTTGTAGAGGTTGTTGTTGAGGTCGTTGTTCAGGTTGTTGTTGAGGTTGTTGTTCAGGTTGTTGTTGCACTAGCTGTTGAGGTTGTTGTTCAGGTTGTTGTTGCACTAGCTGTTGAGGTTGTTGTTCAGGTTGTTGTTGCACTAGCTGTTG